ATTATTATTATTATTATTTCAGAGCTCGCCCTATGATCACACCACGGGGATGGCCGGCTCTATTGGATACCACCCTTACGCAGCACCCTTGGGCACCTACCCCTACGGTGACCCCGCGTACCGTAAAAACGCGACGCGGGACGCGACGGCCACCCTGAAGGCCTGGCTCAACGAGCACCGCAAGAACCCCTACCCGACGAAGGGCGAGAAGATCATGCTGGCCATCATCACCAAGATGACCCTGACGCAGGTGTCCACCTGGTTCGCCAACGCCAGGAGGAGGCTAAAGAAGGAGAACAAGATGACCTGGACCCCTCGGAACCGGAGCGAGGACGAGGAGGAGGACGAGAACATCGACTTGGAGAAAAACGACGACGACGAGCCAAACAAGCCTTTGGATAAAGGAGACTCCACAGACACAGAAGCAGGTTGGTGTTACCGAGGAGGGAGAATAAGAAAAAAGAGAGAGAGAGAGAAGGAGGGGGGAAAATCATCAATTTTTCATCGCAGTCGTTTCCACTCAGGGTGCAAAATTGATTGCTGGTTAATGGTGGTATATAATTTATAATGAGACAATTGCTTTAAATAATAATCACCTTGAACTCCCCTCGTTTGACTCTTTCACGGGCTAAAATTGCTGGTGACGCAGAGTGTTTAGCAGCCAATTTATCTTTAACGGTATAATAAGGATGCAGCTGCAGAAGGGAGCTGGGAATTCGGCTAAAAAAGTGTTTTTGTGTGTTCATCCACGCTTATCACGACTTCGGAGATCACATTTAGCTGAGAAAATACTTTTCTGTAAAATGAGATTTAGAGGTGTAAAGTCACGACTCCATTTGTGCCATAATGTTTAACAACTGGACAGGAGTTCACTGACCTTTTTTTTTTAATCTGCTGCACATTTATGAGGAAATTTACAGCATTTACTGTTTTTTTTAGAGGACAGGGGTGTGTGGTTAGTTTATATTTATTTCAGCTTTGTTAAAAGCAAGTGAATGTTACGCTTATTTGGTGGTAATTCTTATTATTTTTGCGCTTTAGATCACAAACTACTGAACCCAGGGGACATGAGCTGTGACAGATTTAAAGAAGAGAACCGTGGCAAAGAAATGGACCCCCTCCTGAGCGACTCGGAGTTAAAGGACCACGAGGAGCGGACTACGGAGCTGCTGCCGGACACCGCAAAACCGACCACCTCGTCTCCCCCGGCGGGGTCCCGGGGGAACCAGGCCGCCGCGCAGCAAGACAAGCCGTCCGATTTGAGCCACGCACCGACCGCAGTGTCCAGCAACGTGACCTCCGTGATCCACTCGCCCCCCTCGGCTCCCAAACCCAAACTCTGGTCCCTGGCGGAGATCGCCACGTCCTCAGACAGGTGCAAGGGAAGCGGCGGCGACGCGTCGCAGGCTTGTCCCGGTTTGGGTCAGAGCGCTGTCCTGGGCAGCACCGCGTCTCCGTCCCGCTCCTCCCCGCAGTGCCCGCTCCCCAGCAGCACAGTCCTGTCCAGGCCTCTGTACTACACGGCCCCTTTCTATCCCGGCTACACGAACTACGGTGGCACTTTTGGACACCTCCACAGTAACCACGGCTCGGTCACCACGGGCTCAACGGCACATTTCAATGGATTAAACCAGACTGTGTTAAATAGAGCAGAGGCTCTGGTAAGAGAGAGCCAGAAAGTCAGAGGCCAAACGCAGGTAGATCTTTGTAAAGACTCCCCTTATGAACTAAAGAAAGGTATGTCAAATATTTAATACCTGAATATTTTCCACTCACCGCGGACGTTTATTTATTTTATTATTNGCCGTGGTATGGTGGAACACAAAATGCAGGCAGACAAGAGGACTTGAAAAAAAAAAAACATTTACAAAATAATGAAAAAAGGATGACATGACAGCAATTAACTTCCATAAATAAAGCCAATGTAATATGTGTAAACATGGCCATGAATGTGACTGGAGGATTCAGATACAAGCTGAGACTCAAAGAGACTAGTTAAATACAACAGAGGATGAGTGACAAGTGGATGCACCTGGGTGATTACAAACTATGGACAGGTGTGAGTGGCAGGCTGGAAAAACACTAAGCCGACTGAGGATAAAGGGGAGGAAATGGCACAGGAAATACAAGAAGACTAGACAGGAAAAAAATAAAATAAAACACAAAAATACCAAACAACAAAACAGACTGAGAAAATATCACATGAAGAGAACCATAAAACACTAACCAAGGCAAGAATCATGACAGTATGGTCTCCAGGCCGCCCACCTGAACTCTGGCCATGTTTGAAAGACTTGTTTCTGTTTGTTTCCTGTTTTTTTTTGTTTGTTTGTTTGTTTTTGTTTTATTTTTGGCCTTCATCCTTTTTTATCCTTATTACCCCCTCCATGTACCCGAGTCAGATGTTTTCGTTTATTTATTTTATTATTATTATTATTTTTATTATTTTCTGTGTGGTTGCATTTGGAAAAAAAAAGACAGAGAAAAAATTATAAGAGCAATGTTGAAGCAAATTCTGAGAACAATTATTTTCTGAGTAAATGCTTATCCTCATTATAATTTGTTTTAAGTTTCTGAATGGTTAAATGCTAAACTGTAACAAGAAATGGTCTTAATCGCTGCAGCCGCCTATTTGTATTAAAGACTAACATGTATATTTAATGTAGCTTTTTTTTGTATTTAAAATGAACAGCACATTATCTTTGAAGTAAATTATGGAGAGAGAAAAAAAAAAACGAAGTTGTTGCAGCCATTATTTTCGGATGAACAGCTGGTTTTGCTTGATGTGTCGACAGTGCTTTAAAGCCAGTTAATCTATGCGAAATTTGAATTCCGTTTTGCACAATGACAGATGGGCCAAAGGTAATTATTTCCAAATTTCAAGGCAGAGGGAGCGGAGAGGGCCTGCGTTCTGCTTGAAGGATGTTGCAATACAGYCAAACAATAAAACGGGTTCAGTTGATTTGAATGCTGCACATGTAAGAGTGAATGATTAAAAATGATACATATTTTATTTATGTGACATTTCTTTATGAACTTAAAGCAGTCCGCTCAGGGCCTCGTATCATTCTGCATCTGTGTGCACGTTTCTAAATGTGGAAATTGATATAATAACACTATAAGGCGCAGTCGTTTAACCCAATTACCTCCCGTGTTTCATCCGGTGCAATCAGGTGGTGAACTCCATAATGAGCTCGATTTTATGCCAAATTTAGACATCATTACTATTTTCCAAGGCGTGGCAAAGCTGTTAAAAAAAAGGGACTCGGCCATGCATTTAAAACATACTGGCCCATTATAGATAAATAGACGTCATTAATGGAGAGTCTCTTTTTAATGACGCGTTAGATGTGGAGCTCTGAACAGGGTTGCTGCTGCGCACATGCGGACACAGAAACGCTTTATTATTATTTTTATCATTATCATCATTTATTATTATTATTATTATTATTATTATTATAACCCTGAGCCTGTGCAGACTGTGTAAAACAGAGGGGTCTTCTAACTCTTCCAACTTCTGCAGGTAGGTGTCACACTTGCTCCTAATTTCAGGAAGGGAGGGGCGGTGTGGGATGGAGGAGGAGAGGGAGTTCTGGTAATCCGTCACGGAAACCCCATGCCCGATCAAATGGCCTGCTGGAGAAGAAAAAGGAGAAGATCTGGAGCCACTGGGGCAACAATGATGATTACAGTTATTATGAGGATTAGAGCAACTTTGACAAGAGGATAAAAAAAGAGAAAACACTAACGTGGAAATCCAAAAAAAAAAAAAAAAAGGAGGGCGGGGTGTTATATATATTTTTTATTAGATTATGTTTTTTATTTTCATTTTTTTGTGATTTACCACGAAAGCTGTTATTACACAAACAGCAACAACAAAATATCTCACTTTTCTTATTATTGTTGTTATGAAAACCTATAGGACGAATTTGGGCCTCTGAAACAAGAAGGCCGCAGTTTCACCTTTTTTTTTTCGGTTCCCTTTTTATTCGTTTAGTTTTTTTTTTTTTTTGTTTATTACAGAGCTTTTAAAGGGCATTGAATCAGTATAATTATTATTATTATTGATGTCGTTATTGTTGACCTCCACTGCGGTGGGACAGCATGCTCTTGTTTATGGCTGCCATTAATCTCTATAGTTTACTTTCCCCCCCTTTCTCCAGTGGGAAATCTCCCCTGAGGTTTCTGTAATTCCCTCAGCCTTAATGTCCTCTATTCGGCTCCTCCATTTTAATCTGACAGAGTGTGCTGGAGCACTGATTGCGACACATCAGCCGGTTAAATAGCATAATTATGTTTTTTTCTTCTTCGTCTTCTTTTTTTTTTAACCCTCTGCTGATTCCTTGGTGAGGATTGAACTGTTCGTTCAAATGTCCCATTGGAGAACATTTTAAGTTTTATTAAAATGTGCCGGATTAAAATAAATAAATAAATTGCTTTACGGACACTGATGCACGATTTCCAAACCACGTGTGTGGCGCAAGACAGACGTGTCAAAAAAGTGGGGAGGGTTTTTGTTTTGTTTTTATTATTATTTTGGTCATGTTTTTTATCATTGTTGTTTATGAGTGTGCGCTTGAGATGTTTCAGAGTGAGTTGATATATATTTTTCCTATATTATTTAAATATTCAAGGGAACATTGGAC